GTTTTGTTTCTAATTTAGACCACACTAATGTAAACCAAATACATTGCAAACACAATGAAACGGATGCGTATGGTAGGTCTGTTTTAAAAACGAGAAAATGTTTTAAGAATTTAAATTTCAATAATTTTTTTATAATAATTATTTTAATATTAATATTTCTTTCAATATATTGAATTGTAAACAGTACTTTTAAAGTGCTGTATGTAAATAAAGTATCGATTAATTTACTGCGAAAAGTGTCATCTTTTCAAAACACAAAAGCAAGTGCGGATATAATCATATTTGCGTGCAGATGACGCATTGGCCAAATTTTGGAAAACACATGCCAAGTTCTATTTCGAAAGTAGAGTATACGAAAATGTGGATTCATTTCCTGTTCTTTATTCATAATTGTGCTATATTTGAACAATTTTCACCGAAATTCGCCACAGAAAAGAAATGACATTTATGATGTATTTTCGCTTCGTGTCATGATGTTATGAAAGTTAATTTATAAGAGAGAATTTTATATTTAGTTTTACAACTTATATTTTTACAGAGAGCGAAGTTGATTCCAGTATCACAGTGATGAATGAAAAAAAAATAATAATCTGTGTAGGTGATTTTTTAACAGTTTCGTTGCAGATCACGCGATATAACGAGACAAAATTCTTTTGAGTTAGTGTCAATAAAATTAATCAAGTGGTCGCAAGATGCAAATTATCATCCAACTATTTTTGCAGAAAAAGTGTTTTTTCATGACAATAACATATTCAGGACATTCGCCATCTCTCAAAATGCGATAAAATTCGGCTAAAAAAAATTGTGCTTTGGCGAAAGTATTGGCGAATGATTTATTCTATTAAACAGAATTTTTTTTTCAATGTTGACCTGTCTTAACATCCGTCAATTCAGGCATATTAGGTGGGCCAACGTCGTTCCCACAGTGAGGACAGATAGTACAGAGAACGAAAGAACATCCATGCCTTCCCCGGGATTCGAACCCAGAACCTTTCTGATGCAAGGACAGTTCCCTGCCCCTAGCTCTAGTACACAGGCCGGTAGGCAGGAGAAAAATATTTATACCCCTAGATCCAGAAAAAAAAAGTCAGACGGAGTTTTTCAAAACGAATCCTGTATTTTTTATTCGATAGCAGTAATTTCCGTTCGATGCGTCGCATAACTAATCAGAATTATATTGAGACCAGATAATGTAAGCAACAAGAGAGATTATGTAAGCATGAAACAAATTACCGTAAATTACAGATTACCGCGTTCATTGCCGGATCACGCGATATTACGCTTTTTGTCTTTATTTGCCAAGAATTGGGTGCCTGGGCCAAAGAACATATGCCGCGCAGCGATATTACGCGATGAAATTTTTTCCCTATAGTTCGTGTCAATAAAATAGACTAAGTGGTGTAAGATGCATCCAACTATTTTTTTCCGAAAATATGTTTTTTCTCGAAAATAATGTGATAATAACGTAATATTGCAACAGGTTTATCCTTATATTACTGCTATTGTCTACGAAATTATCAAAAATTAACCTCAATCTTTTCCTCGAAGACTACAAGACAACATCTACATTTTTCACCCTCTTTCACATTTATTGCTTTCACCTTAACTGCAAAATTTTTCTTGATTTGAATTTTCATTTTATAAAATAATAAAATTTTTAATTGAAGTTTTCTTTGGGAAAAAAACAATCTTAAGAAAATTGTTAAGATTTGCCTTAAGATCTTTGACATTCGGCTACTTTAACAGCTATTAATTTGAAGTCCTTAACGTGGGCTTAACATAATACTTATTAAAGGAACGTATTGTAAAATTTGAAAACTAAACTGGTTGCTAATATAAGATAATTTAACTTTAATATTTTCATAGATAACCACTCATCAAAAATATTGAAAAACTACCAGCACTCGGCTGGCAATTGCGCTCGTTAAAAAATGAATTATTATGATCTAAGAAAAATATGAGTTGAAATAAGCAGTTAGTAAACGTCAATACTAAGTAGAAAATTTTAAAATTTTTTTATAATTTGTGGAAAAGCAGTCAGAGGAGAGATGTTAAATGTGTTTAATAACTATTGAGATCTACTTTGTTTTGAAAGAACAAAATTAAATGATGAAAGTTAATTGAGTGGAAATTGGCAGAAGTAGGAAGCGTTTGACGCAGATTTGAAATAACGCTTTTCTTTTTCTCTCTGTTTCAATGTCAAACGTATGTTGACATTGACCGCACTTGCCCCCAAACATTTTCAGTTGTTAAATGTCGCGTATATAACTGTCATGAAATATACTATGTGTTGGTGTTATACCTTCCAACAACTACGGAATCTCCGTAGTTTCGGGATATTTTTTTTTCTAATGGTAACAAAGGTAATGTATTAGTCTAATAAATTAGAATAAATAAATTTCGCCCACAAGTACATAAAACTATTTTAAGGAAATACATTAAAGGTCAGATAAAGGAATGAGTAGCTGCCAACTTAAACGGCTGTTGAGAAAGATTTTTCGAGAGTGGCAGTCTTATAATACTTATGGTATTAATATTTTTCTAAAAAAGAAGCTATTTTACCGACACTCGCAAGTGTCTAAATCTCTCTTATCTAAATATGTTTGAATTATTGATTTGTCGTGGTAGATAAAACAGTTTAATATTTAAATTAAGACTTTTACGCAAATTATTCATATTTATAACGAAAACGTTCTTCACATTCACTTCCAATTGTGAACTGGATTAACTAAGCCATAAAAAATTGCTACTTTTAATATATATTTTTTTGTTTTTAATAGTCATCGCTTTTTACATTTATAGTCACTCATGACATCCTTGGAATGGCCATGCTCTGAAGTATTGATAAAGATCCTGTGAAAATTCTGTTTGTTTTAAAAACTTTGGCTTTAATCACTGGAAATTAAATTTCACGCAAAACTCAAATGCTGAAGGATATGACTATAATATTTTATAACCGTCGTTGAACATCCAAATTCAATTTTGAGTTCAAGACGACCACTGTTCAACTACGTAACCTTGGACCCAATTCAAAAGACAATGGAAACTCTTGTATGAAGTATTGGGAGAAATTTGATTTCGTGAGGAACTTTTTGATGGAACTAACCCGCATTTGCGCTACATGGACATGAAAACCACGAAAACCTCCCCTGGTTAGCCCGTGGCAAGGGGTTTTTAGCCCATGATTTGTCTATACTGAAAATATTTTACTTCAGCATTGTGGTCAGTGCGAGCTGTGTGCAGAATTCGTATCGACCAGCCATCGCTGGGATTTGATCCTGCGTCACCTCATTAGGAGGTGAGTGCTGCATACCCTGAGCCACCACGTCTCTGGTCTGAGACTTCGTGGTAACATTTTTAATGTTGAATGCTTAGGAAGGGGGCTAAAATAAGAAAATTTTATCTGCAATAAAAGGTCCAAATTTAGCAGCAAGCCGTTCAGGGTTGCCAACTGCTCCGGCTTTCGGCAAAAGTTTTTTTTTTGAAGTGGTTAAGAACTACCCTTCGGCAAGATTGCTTTCGTACATTTTATGTGGTATTGACGAAGCAAATTTGCCATTAAAAATTTCGGTAAGATAGTTCTGTACATTTTACGTATACATGTTGACGTATATTTTAACATTCAGATTTTGGTAAAATGCTTCTGTATATTGTACGTAATACTGAAAAAATAAATTTACCATTTTATTTCGGTAAGAATATTTTTCTATGTTTCACGTAATATTGACGAAGTAAATTTACTATTTAGATTTAGTAAAAATAGTTCTGTGTATTTTACGTAAATATTATTGACGAAGCAAATTTACCATTAACATAATATGTAAAAATAACGTATGTAAAATACATTCTTATCCAGCATAAAATTGTTGATAAAATATTTGTTTACGTATAAATTTGCTTAAATTTTGCATTTTTTGGGTATCTATTTTTGACTAGGGGGTTCATAGTTAATTCATATAGCATAACACCTGCACTCGGCAGGCAGTGGACATGTTAAGGCTTTATTACTGTCTGAAATCAGTTTCGTGAATAGACAGTTCATCAATAATGATAAAATAAAATAAAAATGGTACAAGCAGCGTTGAGGCCAACTACTTCGATTTTCGAATACTTGACTCAATAGTTCTGCAAAATATTGAGTCAAGTATTGAAGTGACAGGCCTTCCAACTACTACGCTTTTTGCGAAATATTTTATAGAATGGTAGGCGTTTAAAAACCAAAGCTTTTAGAATTTTTGGTAATTTTACCCTGCATTTTGAAAGCCTTACCACGAAGGAGTTGGAACTAAGTGGTATTGCATCTGAACTTATAAATCATTTACATACCTGCCATTTTTCAGTTTGTTCGAAAATAGGTTGTCCAAGTGGCGGTAAAACAATTACCGAAAAACAATCTCATTAAAAAATGTATTTATATTTTGGCCTTTTTGAAATTCGCTATTGTAAATATTATTATGCTTTGATATATTTGTTGTAATTATTTATGCGTCGCGGTGAACAAACTCATATATATTTAAGTATTATTATAATTCAAAAAGTTCAATGGAATAGTTTCGCTACCACTATTAATCAGAAATTAAAATCTTCCGGGCAAAACCGGTAAAGTTGGTACCAATGCATTTATATGTTATGATGTGAAAAATAAGTGTGAACGAAAAAAATAATAATAATAATACATTTAAACATTAACTTAGCTACCACCAATATATTTTTTTTACATTAATTGTTAAAAGTTGGCAGGCCTGATATAAGCTTGTAAAATTTTCTTATTATTTAGACTTTAAATATTACTGTTGTTGTTATATTTCATTTATACTACATGTGAATAATTTATATTTAATGGTAGATAAAATCACTTTAAATAAAATTTACTAAACCAGGAATCCTAAACTAAAACATAAAATTTGGTAACATTAGAAAATTTTTTCTTCTTCACAAATCGAAGCTAGTTGGAATTTCTAAACTATAAAACTTGGGGAACAGATAATGAATTTACTTACCAGCTCGCGTGTTGCAACCAGGGCAGATAACTTCCCCATGTACCACAAAACACCTTACTTTGAAACCCCAGTTTACGTCCTGCGCCAAAGTAGCCGTTGACATCACGAGCAAAGGTAAATAAAACCATTCCAAACTCATCTTCATATCTCTTCTATCTCTTTCTTCTCTTAACATCACGTTTCGTTTATATCCTCGAAAATGGATGATACGGATGTGTTTTACCCATCCTGTTTGCCGCCAAAAACTGGTTGGCGACTTTCTTTCATTTATTATTTGTGAAATAGCAAGGCACGGAACAAAATCACGATTATTCGTTTTTTAGTAGGAATCTTCATTTGTGTGTATATTGCGTTGCAATTGAAAAATCAATGCAAGCGACAAAAAAATTCAAAATTGAGATTTTCTTTAATACTTGGCATCTTTATATGGTTTAAGCTACGTATTGCGGAAAAAAAAAGTTTTTCAAAAATAAATTTTGTTTTATCAGTTTTTTGAAATACTATTTTAGCATTAGCAATAGAAGAAGAAAAGTTGTCAAGCCACTTTTCTCGGAATCAATCGTGAAGAACTTACTCTGTTTATTAAATTGCACTGCAGTGTAGCAGAATTGTGAAAAAAAGCATCAATGAACTAATAAATGTGACTTAATAGTATAAAAATAGCAGTAAGTCACTTTAAAATTCTTTTATTTTTTTCCATTGCCCCCCTTCATTGGCGCTTTTCATTCAGGTATCAGTAGTTGTAACGACTAAAATTGCAAAAAGTGCTAACTATTAAAATTCAATATTCCACTGGGAGAAATTTTAATTAGAATCTTTTTACAGCATATTTTTTTCAATTTACGACCTAGGGTGAACTTGCTTGCCTTATTTAATAAAACTTGGCACCTGGGCCAAGCAGCGGCTCCTATCACATACATCATGAAGTATTAATACTTTGAGTTACAAACATATTGAGTTTAGCAACATTGTGGTAGCTATACAAGAGGTCAAACATAAAATATATATTAAGAGTTTTTTTTTTTTTAAAGTTCAATATTGAAAGTTCACTTTTGCTCGTTAGAATTTTGTTGATGTTGTTTCCTTCTTGTTCTAAACAATGATTGATACACTGATCGAAGATTCAATAAGATATCACAAAGATCGATAATTCACTAAGGATTCTCTAAGATTGTGAACTGGATGATTACGACCTAGGGTGTAGTAAAAAAATATTTATATCTGAATGATAAGAAATGTAAATCATAGTGGTAGATACAATTAAATAATTAAAGAAACAGTAAATAAATAAACAAGAGTGAATTGAGTTTTATCACTTTTTACATAAATAATCGCTTGTGTCATCCCTGAGTAAGGAAGATTTGTTGGCCACTCTTTCAGGAGCACCATATTAGGTGGGCCAAGCTCTCACAGTAAGGACAGATAGTACGGAGAATGAAAAAACATCCATACTTTATCCAGGATTCGAATCCAGGACCTTTCTGGTGTGAGGTCAGCTCTCTGACCACCACACACTCCGGTGGGCACTTAAAATTCTTTTAATTAACAAATTTCTTGACTAGTGACGCAGAGAGAGTCTCAAAAATTAAGCGTTTTCCCAGTTAACGAGACGTCCAATGATCTCTCAAAATTATTAAAGTGGTAAATAAACTTTTGTCATAAGATGTATTTTATGTTAAGATGGAACATTTTTGATCGCCACAATAATTCGACAACATATAAGAAAAGATGCAATGGATAGGTCAAAATTTATAGCATTTAAGTGGTTGCTAAACCAGGTGAATTTTCACTGATTTGATGATAAGTTATATACCACTACTATAACTTTGAGAGACTTTAAGAGTTTTTAATGAAGATATTTAATTTATTTCGGTTTTCTTGCAATGACGTATGGTTGGGCTTTAATAAAGGTATGTTTCTGCTAAAACATCTTTCATACACTACAGATTAAATACGAATTAAGATAGATTATTTTTTCAATCTTTTTGAGCTGTGTGGATTTCACAGTAAGTAAGATTAGTATTAAAATACAAAATTGACTAAGACTTAAATTTCTATATAAAGAATGCAACACAAATTTAGATAAAATACTCAATTATGATAAAAATTTAACATCCTCAAAATTAACATTTAAAATCAACCTAGAATTTTAAATAGTATATGCGTTTGATTAAATTTGTATGTGCTTGGGGAAGGCTTTCCACGGAACTCAATAAATACTCAAAACTTTATTAAACGAGAACAGAATTAGCAATTTTTTCTAAGCATATTTTTATTCAGTATACTACTAATATATCAGACGGTACGGTAGAAATTCCATCTATCTCGGTACAAGCGGCTTTAACCGATTCATCGAAGTTGAGAGGATCTGAAAACAAAAGAAAAAAATGATCACAGCTAGCTGGGTTCGGCTGGTGGAAAAAGCTTAGTCCTGGATGTTGGATTAGGCTTGGGCTTCGGAGAGGAGTGTTCACTAGTTCGGCGTTTTGAAGGAGTTCTTGCATCTCTAATATATTAGACGCTTCTTTTCTTTATTTAACAAAACTGGGCACCTGGGCCGCGCAGCGGCCCTATCCCATACATCATGTAATTTAGATACATTGTGTTAAAAAAATTTTAAGTTTAGCAACATTATGGTAGCTATTTAAATAGGTCCAGCACATTTGCTTGATAAGAAAAATGTTGAAATTATTACAACAATGAGAATATTTTAAATCAATTAGTGCATAGTAAATAATATCTAAGCATTAATTCAAATAACACATATTAACGTAGATGTGAACATTATTTGTAGGATTAATACATGAGTTAATATAATTAGTATAAACTAGTGGGCTGTGCCCCCTGCTCGCTAACGCTCGCCAATCCCCGAAAATTGCTACGCAATCTCATATGGTTTGCTTCGCAAACCAAGCTCGCTTCGCTCGCTACTAACTTAGGTGCATTGCAAATGCACTAAATTCTAAGAATTCAAGACAATCATTCAAATCCACAAAAAAGCTTTTTTTTAAAAAAAATTACATCTTTTTAGTAAATACTAAGTCATTAAAATAAATTTGAATTCAAATAAATGACATGTCAATTCAAAATGAATTCAAATAAATGACATGACACGTTAAACCTATTAGAAATGTGCTATAATATAATTCGTGATATAAATCAAAAATCGTCAAATATATAAATTCGTGAAAAAAGCGCTTTCGACAAAATACTAATATAGAGATCTATCGACAAAGACTAGTCACTTCTGCCTAGCTTAATTGTATGAGATTGCCGCAGCTGATGCTCTCTGGTTATTTCAGTTTCCGTTTTTAAAAGCGCTATATGTTGAGCCATCTCAGCTAGATTTTGCATGTGACATTCTTCGCGGCAATCATTGGTCGATTTTCTAGCGTTGCCATTCGGGGAGTTGTAATGAGGCTTTTTTTGTCACCGTGTAAGAGAAATAGTAACGTAAACAAAACAAAGCAAACGTTGCCACCGGCGAAAAAGAAATACAGCCAAAATTTGGGAGCCACGTAAGAGAATTATATATATTTGGTCGATTTTCTAGCGTTGCCATTCGGGGAGTTGTAATGAGACTTTTTTTTGTAGCCGTGTAAGAGAAATAGTAACGTAAACAAAACAAAGCAAACGGCGGAAAAGAAATACAGCCAAAATTTGGGAGCCACGTAAGAGAGTTATATATAGTATTAGATATGACATATGAGTAGTAGATAAGCAAAGTAATCATCTGAGTATTGGATCTAATAATACATGTTGACGTAATTGTAAACATAGTTTGCAGTGTTAACACATGTATAATTTTGCTATGTATTGAGAGTCTATGATTTAAAGAGTTTATAAACTGGAATAATAGAGCGGTCATTGGAATGTGGAGGAACTTCAGAGTTCAGGGGTAAAAGTCAGTTCAATTGGGGTCGAACCAAGGATCAAGGAAACATGAAGCGGGTGTGCTGACCTCTACACCACGGCAGTCTTTCCCTGCATGATGGATTGAAGAAGTGCAACAACTTCTTCATTCTGCAAAAGTTCTTGGAGTTCTTTCACAATGAGAACTAGGCGATAAGATGAGGATTTCGGTGTAGGAGCCCTAGGAGGGCGAGTAGGCTTTCTACTGGGGCGGGCTTCGCACCCAGAGAAATTCGCTGTATGTGTTTTTCCGCAATTGCAGCACTTTGGAGGTGTTTCTCTGTTCTTTAAACACTCGAAGGAGCGATGACTTTCTGCACACTTCAGGTATCTGGGAGGAGCAGGACAAGACCTTTGTGCATGGCCGCAGTCCTGACATCTGTAGCACTGCAGCGATCCCCGACCGCCGCGGAAGCGTTCCTCACTGACCGAGAACCGCTGAATCTTTCCAAAGGTGAGAACTTGAAGGTGATTGGCAGTCTCTCTAATGACTGCGAGGAAAAGTGGTAGTAGCCGATAGGCCCCGCCCTCTCTCTTCTTGAACTGAATTAATTTGACCAATTGTAAGTCCATTTTCGTTATTTCTAAGGGAATGTGATCTGGATTGAAGTCGGCTGGAAGTCCGCGAATAAGAACTTTGTAGTTTCTAACAGATGTAGCCGGAGAAGCTGGAATGGGAGGGTAGGTGGGTGAAACTATTTTGGAGTCTGCTTTAGTTTCAGTTAGTTGTAAGCTAGTGGCGGTATCTAGTGGTGAAGAAGTGCGGCTATTTGCAGACATGATTCAATTATCTTCAGTTTTTTTGACGTTAATTTGCTTTTTCGTTTTCTTTCTTTTTTTTTTTGGAAGAGGTTCTGAGTTATTTTTGGAAATGCTTTCGGGATCAGAGGTTGGCACTTCTCTCGTGTGTTTCAAATGTTGGTTTTCATCGTTAGTTACCATGGCTGGGTCAACAGTTGTTTCAGTCTGCAATTCAGGCTTAATTGGTTCAGTCATGGGATGCGACATGAATTTAGCTGCATTCTCAAACATGTCTCTCATTTTCCTTTCCGTGGCTTTAAGCATGTTTCCGGCTTTGTCAAATTTCGTGGTGTCAAATTCCGTGCATTCCTCATCCGTCGTTGAATCACTGAGGCATTGCCGCCCGGTGGACGGGTGTGTAGTCTTTCCTCCACGTCCGCAGCTTCGAGATAACATTTTGAATTGAAATGAATAAATCTAAACTTAAATCTTTAAACGTTACTTAAAACTTTACCTCCTTTGCCACGTCCAGACATCAAATAGTGAAATGGTCCTAGTTTTTCCGATGCATCTTTAGTAATTCAGACAATAGCCAATCTCGCAATATATTAAACG